AGCAGCCCTTTGTGGCCAAGAGGTGGCTGGTCTCACTCCAGACCAAGCATGCAGCTGTTCACCACTGTTGGTCATATCCATGTGTGTGTGGGGATACATGTATGTGTGCCCACGTGCATTTTTATAAGGATCTTTGAGTATGTGTACATTTCTCTGTGCAGGTCTTTAATGGAGATGACTTCTTTCATGTCATTTAGGTTATTTGGACATGTCACAGTCACGTGTTTGTCTTTTCTCCTGGGGTGCGTTCATTAAGATAGAAAATTGGAAATTGACTCCAGTGTTTCTAATCCTCTCTCCCTCTCCTTTGATTAACTGAAGGCTGGTGACGCTCTCATTTCCTGTTCAATAACACATTGGGTTTTATGAATAAAACAGATTAAGAACTCTGAAGAAATGCATTTGGCAAATCCATCACAAATCTTTATGTTGTGTTAATTTCTTAAAAATACTGTCATATGTGTAAATGTGTGAAACACTTTTTAAAAGTTTCTATAAACGCAGAAGAAAGACTTCTATGAACAGCTGAAAGCAACAAACTAAGTAACCCAAACCTCAGATGAGATGATCCCACTCTGATCCACGAGGCATCGGTTTTGTCAAAACCACTGATGCGGCTTATTTATGCACAAGGCGTGCTTTGTCATCACTCAATAATGTATTACATGTATTATGGGGCGATCGTGGCTCAAGAGTTGGGAGTTCGCCTTGTAATCAGAAGGTTGCCGGTTCGAGCCCCAGCTTGGACAGTCTCGGTCGTTGTGTCCTTGGGCAAGACACTTCACCCGTTGCCTACTGGTGGTGGTCAGAGGGCCCGGTGGCGCCAGTGTCCGGCAGCCTCGCCTCTGTCAGTGCGCCCCAGGGTGGCTGTGGCTACAATGTAGCTTGCCATCACCAGTGTGTGAATGTGTGTGTGAATGGGTGGATGACTGGATATGTAAAGCGCTTTGGGGTCCTTAGGGACTAGTAAGGCGCTATATAAATACAGGCCATTTACCAGGCCATTTACAGCTCAACATTTTTCAGTGAGCAGGTGCATATTTTGGAACCCAAACCGTGATATTTTACCTCGGTAGTCATTAATCGTTAAACTGAAGCAGTCAGTGAAAGTGGAAGTTCAAAAGCAACTGAAAAACAAAACAGCTCACCATGTGGGGGGAAAATAAAGAACAGGGTCTCCTGGCTGATGCCCTTGAGTTTGTGCCATCACCTCTACCTGCCCGTGGCTGATGTTGCAGCGGTTGGTGTGTGGCAGTACCAATAACAAAGGAAAACATTTGCATAGTGGAGAGATACAGGAGGAAGCCTTATAGTACACACTGGGAGAGGGGGTTGATTGTTACTGTTGAGTCTCATCCATTTCACCTGTCTCACACTGTGTTTTCATCACAGTACCCATAAAGCCGTGTTTTGAAAACACTGTTTTCTATCTTGTGCACTCAAATAAAACCTGGTGCTTAGATTAAGTTTGTGTAACTAACTTTGACTGACAGGGCGCCAATCTGCCACAGGCCAAACTTTGACTGTGGCGGATTTTCTTAGGAACAACTTTTCTGCCTCCACCTGATTATTTTAGGCAGAGTGAGGCGTCTCTGCAACCAGTTAGCTCTGTGCACAACATCTCCTCCTGCGTGAGCAACAGTTTTACATATGACTTCCATTCAATTCACTTTATTTATGTCACATCATATAACAACAGCTGCCTCAAGACACTTTAATATTATAAGGTGAAAACCAAACAATAACAGGGAGACATCCCCAAGAAGCAGACAAGCCCCTATGAGCAAGCACTTGGTGACAGTGGGAAGGAAAAACTCTTTTAACAGGAAGAAACCTCCAGCAGAACCAGGCTCAGGGAGGGGCGGGGCCATCTGCTGCGACCGGTTGGGGTCCACGTGTGCACCGGGTGCATTTAGCTGATTCTTGAAGAATAGATAGGTTCTTCTCTACCTAGTTCTATGGACCTAATGTAATCTTAACTGGACCCATAGCTGGACTATATCAGGATTAATTAAGTGAACAATAGTATAGGTAAGATGCAAGTGTGCATAAACTGACCTGGCCAAAGAGGATTTATTTCAGACGCACACATATATAAGAAGATGTTACATGTCTGCACAGTTCTGTCGATCCTGCACACTTGTGTAATAATAGGGACGTATACTAAATTCATGCTTGCAGTTCTTACACTCAGAGTGTGATAGCTATCACAAAAACAACTATAATAACCTGGAAAAAACATTTTCTCAATCATAACATTATTAGCTTGATGTTCATGATTATGAATAATTTCCGGACCAAATAATAAAGTTTTTTGCTAATTTTGGTTACGATAATGTTTGGTAACAGTCCGGCTTGAAACAGTTTCTGGACGGTTTAATTTTTTGTTTTATGTATTTTAAAAAGGGCAGCACGTTGACGCGGTGATTAGCACTGTTGCCTCACAGAGACTCTGTGTCTCTGTGCTCGCCCTGCATCAGGCTGTGACCTGTCCAGGGTGGACCCCGCCTCTCCACTCATGGTTGCTAGGATAGGTTCCAGCCTCCCTGATAAGGATAAGCAGAGGGGAATGGATGGATGGGTTGATTTAAAAAGATTTATTCCATCACTTGCATTAGAGTAAATTCTAACAATTAATATTATTGTTGTTGTTAAGCTCATCTGGACCACTTGTCTAATTCAGGGCTGTGGCTCGGCTGGAGCCTGTACCAGCTGTCACAGGGTAACCAGTCTGTCACCAGCACGACTGACAACCATTCACACCCGCTGCCAATTTATATTCAGCAGCTATCACAATATGCACGTCTTCTGACTGAGGAAGTCAGAGTACCCAGAGAAAACCGACACGAGCACCGGGTGAACATGCAAAAGCCTCGGCCGTTCGGCGGATCGAAACCCAAGACTTACTTTGGCCGATGGCGCTAACCACTGTGCCTCCCATCCGTGTGCTTTTGCAAGCAGTCTTGTCAAAAGATGAACAAAGTAGATAAAGCAGGTTTCTTCTACATAAAGCACAATATAATGCTTCATCAAATTCATAAAACAGCCAACCGAGTCAAAGCTTCCCTTTCTGTCTCAACATGAAAAACAGGAGAGGAATCTGTGGTTTTGTCCTGTTACCTGAATGCACCTCTTACAAACTGCCTCCTTTCTCTCCTTCTCTTATCTTTCCTTTCTCCTCTGTAATCTCTTATGTTCTCTTAATGTTTATTCAATCTTTGATGAGCTGGATCATCTCTGTCAGCACTGTAATTGTGTGTTTTCACTTATTTATGCTTCTCTGCGTCCTCACCTCTGTGCAGAAACATCTGTTTAGTCATGCTAGTGAACGGCAAATAGAGAGGCTGAATTCCTAACGGAGTCCCGAATGAACCGTTTCACAAAGGGGATTGGGGAAGACACTGAAGTCTGCCAATCAACTGAGTTTGCTCCTCCAATTAACCTGAGGTTGAAAAGATAGGTGAACCTCCCTGAACAAACGTGGGCTGAAAGTTGCTCTCGGTCTTTACTTGGGTGGCTACGCAATGTGCTGTTTACTCAGGCTTTGGTCTGACTCACAAATCAAAGTGTGTGTCAGAATAGAGAGATTAGAGAATCAGAATAGGTCTGGGATTTTACCTGCACCACTTGCATCTTTGTTGTCAACCACCTGGATGAACTGTTAGCATTGTGTAAGACACGCACATGCACAAATAGGTACGCGGACAAAAGAGTAACTTTCTAATACCCTGATAAAATGCAGCTGTTTTTATCTCCTCCTTCAGAAAAGAGGCCCTGCGAGGGCTGTTTGAATAGAACTAACGAGTGAATGAGCATTGTTCAGAGTGGGAGATTCCCCTTTCCACACTGAAGCATTCGGTTGCTCTCAGTGTGGCCTGTCCCAGCAGCTGCTGTCATTTCAGGACATGATGCAGAGCGTTTTCAGCGCACACTGGCATGGACCTATAGGGAAGAACACAGAGGAGAAAGCGCGGTGACATGATGACAGACTTTCAAAGCTTCTGCTCAGAGCTGCACGATTTGTTATTCGACAAGGTTAATAAATAATATCAGATGCCATCAGAGTTACAGAAAAGAGGCAGTCGAGTCGGGTTCAGCTGAATAGTTTCCTGCTGTCGTTGTCTTACATTTGTTTAACAGGAAGTGAGTAACTGATGTGCCCGGCTGGGAGCTCGGGTTTCAGAGACAGGACTGGATAAGGGAAGATTGAGGGATCTAATTGAAACCTGGCTCCTTTTCACCTGCTTTGTTTTCCCAGTGCGTTCATTCTGTTTGAAAAAAGAAAATATGTGTTGTGACAACTTCGCGTTTCACTGGCTTCTATCATCCTCTCCCACTCCTTGCGGTTTCCCCTCCAGGTGAATTCAACCTCGTCTGGCTATTAAATGAAGCCCTCCGGGACCTCGGGAGGGAGGGAGGAGTGGGGCATTACCTTTCGGAAGTGAAGCTAGCTCTCTGACCCGCCGTGGTGAAAGGCCCTCGGGCTTCGCTGCATCACGCACATAATATTATTTATTAACCTTGTCGAATAACAAGATAAAATAAGATAAGATAAGATAACCTTTATTAGTCCCACACGTGGGAAATTTGAAATGATCTCTGTGGGCAAAGCAGGAGATTACACCTGATAGGAAGGAGACTTAGCATAAAGTCAATTGGCTCCTTTGCGGAATAATCTGCTTTTCTCATCCAAGGCATTGCGATGAGTGATAAGGCCTGGAAAAAAGAGTAGCAGAGTGACTATTAACCCACCCTGAGTGCTCGCTTTACATCGGTTTTATGCTGCGCTGTGATTTTGTCATAAGAAATCACAGTCAGTTAAACTGTAACGATAACTCTGTTAAACGCGACGCTGGAAAGTGTGCGTCAGTGTATTTTATGACTGTTAGTAACAGGAATTTCCAATCTGGTCAAACCGTTCAGAATCTGCATAATCCCTGCACACTGTACAAATGTGAGATCTCTGACATGTCATTGAGCATACTTATCGTATCCTCTAGGACTGGGATCCTACCAGTGAGGTGCATATCAGGGGGAAGCCTCGGGAGATGACTGCAGGTAAGAGGAAACTACCTTATTTCAATGAGCTGCTGATTTCTGTGAGCAACTACTCATCTGTGCCCTTTTTTACGTTTCAGCTCGCTCGATCTCGGGCAAAACTAAGCCTGACTGATTCAGTTTTAAATGACTCATTGGCTGTGTATGAACAGTCATCGTGTGCCCGACGGCACGTTTGCGCCTTGATGTTTTGGAGATGCTTTTAAAAGAAAAGGTCTTTTTCTCACTGCGTAGATGGTCTCGGCGGACGGCCCTTCTATCCCCAGATGCCACCGTCTCTGTTAACAATAGATCATAGCAATGCTGGGCTTGTAGCTTTGTTTTGATTGAAACCAGTCTTGCTGGTCTCCTGCTGGAGCTTCTCTGCTGCTCTTGCTTGTAGTTTTCTTCTGTCAGAGATGTTTCTGAAAAAGTGATATATGAGGGAGGAGTGGAACTTTTTATTCATAACGCTCTCTCACTATAGACGTGAAACTTAATTTGTGCCTTTGCAGCAGGGATTACGCTCACTGCAGTCGTACACTTTGCCTTCGCTTTTGATTAGCTAATTGACTAATGTGTTGGTCGGGTGTATTTCGATGGTATTAACTGAGCTGCGTCTATCGTAAGACGCTCTGCGAGTGTGTAATTCCCTGAAAGAGAAGCAGCTTTCAGTCAGGTAAAGGTCAGCAGAGAATCTATTATTGACCCTGTTACTGTCATTTTCAGTATCACAATGATATGATACTACTGTGTCTTTCTCTGCCATCGAAACCACATAAGCTTGGATTCCTGTAAATGTTAGCTTTAGGTGCTTTCTCTACCTCTGTCATTTTTCACACAATGACTGATTTGCTTTTTAATTTTCTAATTTAAAAAAGTATTTTCAGCAAAAAGATAGACATGAGATGCTCTTGTATCAACAGTGAGGTACTCATAGGTGTACTGTAAAATTATATTGCCATGGTAACGTGTCATCTCACCATTTTTTAAGCCCTTTTTTCACTTTCTGGTGATTAAAAAAAACAATTGAATAAATAAATAATAACATACATAATACAAATATTATTTTATACATTTATTTATTTATTCTTTTTAAATTGAAGGAGTATGCGCTAATCGGTATCTGCGAGTACCATCTCTCTGAGGAAGCAGCAGGTGGAGATGCCCTCGCTAACCTCAGCTGTGGCTTCTGTCATCTGCACCGACTAAAGACAAACTAATTAGAAACCAAGATGACAGAACATTACTGTTCAAAACATATAAACAGGTGACTCGACACTTTTGACACATGGTTTGCCGCTCAGCAACAGAAACAGAACACTTGTGTTCTGTTAGGATTAGCGCTGTGCAGCTGCCTGCTCTCCTCACAGCTGAGCAAACCTGAAACTATATGGAAAGAAAAGGGGCGGAGTCAGCGCACTGCTCTGCACAAGTTTATTTCCTTAGTCCCACCACAGACAGAGATTCTGTCACAGTCTGGCGAGGGCAGACTGTATGAATTGAAAAAAGGACCCAAAATGCAGACTCCAAGGAACAAAACTTGAATGTTAACAAAAAGCGAGCCGTTTAATATGGCTGGTAAAAAAAAGGTACAAACAAAGGGCAAGGCAACCTGAAGCAAAATTAACACAAACCTAAACTGGGAAATCTAAACAAACAATAAGAAAAACCTAGACAAGGAACTTGGAAACATGGCGTGGACAACAGACAACCTGACATCACACACTGAAAACAGAGGACTTAAATACACAGGAGGTGATTAGGGGAAGTGGGAACACATGGAGGAACAGCTGACTGACATGAGCCTAATGACAGGACAAGGGAAGTGAAACTAAATACAATGAACAAAGAACACACGACTCCTTCAAAATAAAACAGGAAACATGAGACAGACATGATAATACAAACTTGATAACATAAGACACGCAGCATGAAACACGATGGGTGAGGGAAACTAAATACAGGGGAAGAAAACACAAGGAGTCTAATAACCAAATGAACTTAGATAACCTAATGAACAAAATAAACTCAAACTTAAAACGCTGGGTCAAAAGACCCAGGATCATGACAGATTCACATGGACTGTACTTATTGCCATTCATAACGTCACAAATAAAAAAGAATATTCATAACCATCCCACATGTGTCCTTATGTACAGCTGCTTTTAACACTACTGATATTTCTTTGGATGCTTTCTCATTAAAAGGTAATAATATAATATGTAAAAGGTATTTAGATTTCATTGATTGAAGTAAAAATATTTATGGTGTGTTTATACATAAATCTATAAATCTATTTTATACTCATTTTGAATTTAATGGGAAAAAAGCTCATTGCAAATGAAAAATAAGAAATGCTTAAAAAAAATTTAAAAACTGTATATTTATTTTGAAACACTTTAGATTTTTTTCCTCATTGCTTTTGTATTTGTGTCTGTGAAGGTTCTCAGTCATCCAGGTCATCGTAGTCTAAGGCGCTTGGAAAGAAAAGCGTCTGGACTTCAAGCAACTTAAAGAAGTACAGACGCTTTTCTTTCCAAGCGCCTTAGACTTTTGTATTTGTGAGGAAAGCCTCCTGTTATCACATTCCAGCGCTCACATAAAGATATTCTTCATCTTTGCTGTGCGGCGCTAAAACGAGCTGCATCAGCGTCACAGTCGCACATTCGATACATTGTGTAGGTTTTGGAGTTACGGAGCATGTTGTTACTTTTTATTCACTCAAAAATGTAAGTTATCCCAGCACTGATAGTATTGTGCTGATATTATTTAATTTATTTATTATTTGTTTGTTTATGTGAAATTCTGTATCTGTGAACAGGACTCGGTGTGTTTGTTCAGATTTAGATGTGCTGGTGACTTTTTGTCTTGGAAGTACTGACCTGGAAACACTCATTCACAGGCCTGTTTTGAGAATGTGAGCTTTATATGATTTTCAAAAGTCAAACAATAAAGATGTTCTGTATTGGGAGAAACATAATCATCAAACTGAGCTCAACAAATGTGACCTAACAATTAGCAAAGAGGAAACGAGAGCATATCTTCGCCGATCAGATGAAATTTACATAGTGTTAAACATAGACGCTAACACGAGAGCAAACTACAAAAACAACTGCAGCACAGTTTTCTGGTTTAAAAACATCCACACATACAATACTAACTGAGTGCAAAACATATTTCAACAGTCCTGATGTGGATTTGCTCGTGCATCGCTTATTTCTAATCTCCACAAAGAAAGAAAGACAAACATCTTGAAATACATTATAGATGCTTTGTGTGGTGGTGAGGCAGCTGTCACACTTTACAACAAGCATTTTAGTGTGTCATCGACGTCACTCGCCCTTTGAAACCTGAAGTGTAGCCATGATTTGACTCTGATAAAGCTGCTCTTACAATGATAATTTCATATCTCACACTTTCACTTAGTTTTGAGATCAAGTTTCCCCCGTCTGCTTATTAAGAAGGTTTTACTGGACATTTGAGACGCATTTATATTATAGCAGGTGAACAAGAGTCTGATAAGTAGATTAAATTCACTTTAATGCGTAGTGTTGTGGAAAGGAGTAGAACAAAGAGATAGGAAGTAAAGAAAATCGTACCTATTCTTACATCTACAAAGGAGTTAACAGGATTAATACCACAGATTTGCTCAACGTAATCGCTGAGAAATATCGCAGAATCTTTTGTTTTATCTGATGCAAAATGAAGAAGAGAACTTTTGCTTTTATATGTGTCCAGATCTTCATAAGGTTTGAGAAAGAAATCTTTTAAGAGAGCATTGCTAACTTAGTGAATGTTGGCATCCTGCCTTTGCCACTAGAGGACCTTGTCCAGTAAACACAAAGTTAGGTTCAGGCGTTTAAACAAATGATTTGTTGCCAATTTCCTGTTGGTATAATATCAACACACAATTTGTGTTTGGAGAGATCAACAGCGCTTTCAATAGATAAAATGATCCCCGGAGATCAGGCCACATTTTTGGGAAGTGGAGGCTTTAATGGTGACTGTCGGTGCTGCTGTGGATCAAACTGCCTCTCCAATGCCACAGAAATAGCTCTTGTGTGGGCCCTTTCAAAATTTTAGAATAATAACCCTTGTCACCCAAAAGGGAAAAGGCAAGGTCTCTCCTTCCCAGAGATTATGGTGGGAAGAATCGATGACTTCCTCCATCTTTCTCCCCCAGGGGACGTGGGGACAAAGTCTCACTGGTATTAATAGCAGCCCTCTGACAAGCCGGCCAGTGGTCTGCGTCGTGGTGTCACAGCCTTTCGTCTTATTGTTGTGAGAACCTCTTGTTATAGTATCAGAGAGCCCTTATAAAATATACATTTCCTCCACTTCCTGTTTTTGTACTGTACATCACAGTGTCTTTGCAGTACAACAGAGGACACTAGTGTCCCATCAGTAGGCAGTGTGTCTGATAGCTGCTGCTTCAGCTCTGTCCTGGTCACGATGGTGCTTGCTGCCTTGGGTTGTGTTGCTGCTGGATAGTTATGTTGTAAAGGACTGGGAGCAAAGGTTGAGATGCCTCTGCTATTGAGCAGGCTGTAGGTTCGGCTCAAGGACAGCCAAGCCTGTAACCCTGACTCGCTGGCACAAAAGAGGCTATAAATGTTGCTTTGCAATCATCTCTTTGTTTCTGAAAGGACGTGAATCATGTAATGCTTCACTTTGTACAGTCAACTGGGAGACAGTTGTTTAACAGCAGTTTTTTACACTAATGGAACAATGAATGTAATTATAAACAGTGTGGTTATACTGTGAAGTGTTTTGTGCCCATTGAATGGATAACTTTTTTTTCAGCTCTCAGTCTGATAGCCTCAATGCCCCAAATGGGTTCTGTGAAAGGAGAGCATGGGAAAAATAGCTGCCGTTGTGGAAAATGCTGGGAAAAGTTTTAGTTCTCATTGGTAGCAGTGCAGGGCATTGTGGGATGTGAGAGCTGAGAAAGACCGTTTTGCCCCCTGTGAGAAGAAGAAAACATGCAAAGATGGACACAGAAATCCCAGCGAGTCGTCCAGACTGAGCAGAAGCGCCTCGCTGCTTTGAATGCTGGTTCCCTTCAGTCAGAGGTGGGATGGTGAGGCGTGGGCGTCGGTGGGTAGGTGGGCTGGGTACCTGCTACTTGTTTCTCTGCCAGTTTTTTGTAAACCCCCTGACGTCAGCACAGACATTGGTGGCCTGCATACCGACATACCGGGCTGATGTTTGCCAGCCCATTAGCGAAGCCAAAGCGGCGGAGCCCACCCAGGACTGCCGACCCTCTCCTGCCCACCTTCTGCCTTCCCGCCCAGCCCTGGCTCTGGATCAGAGGCAGGCCACACGTCGGGGGACAAGGCTAATGATGGCCACAGCCATGCTATCTCTTTCAAGCCCCAACCCAAGAGTACAATTTTGGCTAATGCTATTTCCTGCAGATAAGATGCAAACAAGCTCCTTTTACTTCTTTTTCCTCACTAGAGGTTTGGGAGGTGAGGGGTGGGTGAGCAGTAGCAAAATAGTCCTCTTTCATTATCAGGTGCTTGGCTTTGGGCGACCTTTGCTGTAGATGACACGACCGCTGTCACATTACACTAATATGAAATACATGAAGTACGTTTTGTGACCAGTTACCCGAATCAAACCATTTTGCTCTCCATCAGTCCCTAAATGCCTCAATCAAGACTGTGTAATGTGATTATTTTACTCATCCAAGACTTTCTAAATTGTTTCCAGCTTAAAACAAGATTGTTGGAGATATTCTTACAGTGTGGAACTCGCACAATGCTGCCGCTGTCTTTATTCTTCAGGCAGATAAGCTCCATGATGGCTAAAAGACATTCTTTGGCTTTTCACTGCTAAAGATCCCCAGATTTTATGCTCCGGTGCAGGTTATTGTGTTTTTCCCGCATAAAGACTATGAAGTTGGCAGTAATATTAGAAACACTTCAAAGGGAGTGTATTTTTTTTCGTTTGACGTAATCAGATTATCATCGATATTTTTCATAATAAATCAGACTGACAATATTTTGCTAAAGCAGCATAGACTGTATTTAAATAATGGACACAGCCAGGGTGATAGCACACACTGACTGTTAGTCGACTGTTCAACGACCCGACACTCACAGGGTAACCACACAGTGCTCAGACAGTTTTAAATGAAGCTTGAAACCAGCAACTGAAATCACAAACTTGTCAGATTTTTTTTGAGAAGTTTTTCTTTTGAGAAGTTTTTCTTATGAACTTCCAAACAGTTCGGATTATTTGTGCAACCACGGGGAGTCGCCCCCTGCTGATCGGTAGGTAAAATGAAAGTACTTCTGCGCTGGCCACGCCCCTTCCTTTAGATGTTTTATGGGACTCTGTGAACATGGAACCGGTGATCTTGACTTTTGCTGTGTTCTCGCCGCCTATCTCTGCAGTGTCATCAGAGGAGATGCGTGATGGCTCGCATGGTCTGAGCAGGGCGTACACATCACACACCACGTGCCCGCCTGATCCCAATCATTCATAAATCTGCTAGAGAGATTTGTATCCACAGTCTGCCTGCAGTCTCTCTTATCTCTGTCCCCGCCTCCCTCTGGCTATTAGGAAGGAATGAGATGTGACGGTATCTACACACTCGGCCCTGTGGGGACTCTTCTATTCAGCCCTACTCTTTTCCCGTTTCTTCCTCTTTTACATCAAACATGCTTTCAAGAGCACGTTCCAGCCATGTTCTTCTTAGCTCACTTCACCCTCTTTCTCTCTGCAGGATCTGCAGTTATTCGCCGTGTCCTTTGTCCAGGAAAAAGCAGTGAAATTTCCCCTCAGTCATTAAGCCCCGATTCAGCACTACAGTCAGTGTAGAGGCTGTAAGTTAACAGAATGTAAATAGAGCAGTGTTTTCACATTGCTTCACCGCTTATTTTTAGTAGCTGGACAAGAGCAGGCGAGGGTGTGCCTTTTCAAGCCCCGACTGTGAGTCTTATCAGCTGAATGCACCGAAGAAAGGATTGAAATTATAAATCAACAAAACAATAATGACTCAATACAGGAAGTGATGTGTTGATTTATGGTTGAAGTTTAACTGTAACTGGCAGACTGTGCTGAAGGAGCTTTTTTAAACATGGAGCAGGAGTGCTGTCAGATGTGCTGCACATGAACTCGACACGCCAAATATTTCTCCTGTAGCTTGAAACAAGCGTGCAACAAGTGACCGCTCAATTATTTATTTTATAAAGTAACAGACTTTATTACTGCACTTGTCTGTTAGGTGAAACCCAAGTGTATATATTTTTCAAGTGCAGCTGCCAGGCATTCCTTGATTACTGCTCCACATTTAGCTCTTAACTCGCCCTTCCTTCCAGGAATCTAACCGATTACGCCATCCTAGTGGACACAACACCTGTAGCAGTTGGTAAGCAGTGTGCTCGGTTGTGTGTTTCTGTGCATGGCAGTATTGATCCCAGACACCCGCTGCTCACACCAGGAAAAGACTTTTCCAAAGCGTTCTCCAGTATGGACTTACTTCTCCCCTGCTCGCCAGCAACAAAGCCAAAAGCAGACGAGATCTGTTGCTGGCAGTTTTTAGCACTTCACTGGCAACTGCAAATTTTCTGCCACCGCTTTGACACTTAGATTTTCCTTTTGCAGAAATGGCTTGTGTCGTCTCGTAAATGTGGCTGCAGAAATGAGTTACTAAGCAAAATCTCCAGCTAAGGTGATGCTCTTGGCTGCACCAGCGACACGTAGAAGAACTGCTGTTTTCACGCAGCTTCTCTCGCACAAAAATGAACAGCACTCGAGGTTTTGTGTGCTCTTAAATGATGTCAAAATGATGACTCAGTTCATTTCCGTTGTGGTCTCACTCAGTGTCAGAAAGACTGAGTCACACACACACATATACACCCATCTTCTGTCCCCAGCAGGCCTGTGGCTCAGCTAGAATTATGTGCTGAATGTTTTGAATTGAGCCATCAATAAATACAACAAAACACTTTCCCTCTCTGTGATGATCTTGGTGCACACACACACACTTGTGCTCGGCCTTGTCCCTGTCCAAACAACCCTTCTATAGTGAGGGGCTCCAATGGAGTGGATCGACTCCAGCTAAGACACCCTTTCAGACTTCCTCCCTCCTTTTCTCAAAAAGCCCTCCCTCTCGTGGACCGCAGGGCCTTCCTTCCTTCCTTTATTATGACACACAGGCCTGGTGGCGTCGCAGGGAAGTCAGGATGGCCGGATGTGCCCTGATCAGACACGCAGACAGAAGGATGCCGCTGCTACTGTGGACCTCGGGTTTGGTTTTATGCCCAAGAACTGCAAGAGGAATGACATCGTTCCTGTTTTGATAGCTCAGCAGGAAGACTGACTCGAGTCAGCGAGGTGTGCGGGTCACCGTACGAACTACAGAACTATAGCCACGCCGGCGGGGGTATATTTAACCTCCCATTCCCATCTCGACCCCTGAATGTAATAAGACAATGAAAGTCTCACAGAAGTCAGTGTTCAGTACAAGACGCAGGGCTAGAGCCTCACACAGAAAGCTATACTAGACGAGCTCGTGTCCGTGTGGTTTACGGCGCCTCTGTACCTTATTGTTTACCAAGACTCGTCTGTGACACACTTGCTAGAAACGCCTGTCTCGCAGGGAAGACGAAGCTTAGAGAAGACAGCGTCAGAACAATAATAATCATTTTTCTTTTGGTTTGTTTGTTTCTTGGAAAAGGTTACAGTAAGTAGCAGCTGCGCTCTGCTGCTGCTGTACAGTGCACGCCACCTCGGAGAAGTCGACCCCTCTGCACTCCATCCATCCACCCCATTGAACTGCCAGCCCTGGTAATCAATTCTGAGCCTTGTGCTGTCACTGAGGGCCTCTGCACACAGCAGCTGGCTGGAGGAAGACAAGCGCTCTTCCACAGTCTTTCCAAAGATCAGCTGCACCCAGCTGTCTAGCAGCAGCCCTGCTATTCAGAGCCCTGCCGCTGCTGCTGCTGATGAGGGAGGCCTCTTTCACTGCTGTCACCGGTGTCTGTTGACCGGAGTCCCCTTCAACATACTTTCTTTTTCAGTTCTTCCTTCCTAAATTTTCAACTGTATAGACACATCCGCCCCTTGAACTGCACAGCGTGCCTCATATGTCTGTCTGGGCTCAGCTCGCTTTCTGTCTTTCTCTTTATTTCTCCCAAAGTCATGTTGTCCATCTGTCTCCGCATTTACGGACTTTGAGTCCGCTGTTTTTATCTGGCTTTCTCTCTCCCTGTCGTGCACGCTGGGACCTTTAGATTAACTTTCCTTCTTTTTTGCTGTTGTAGCCTTTCTTTCAGTTACATCCATCCATGTCCCCTCTGTCCCTCTGTTTTGTGTTCCCCATTCCTCTTTCCCTTCTTTGTTGCTCGCCATGTTTCGGTTTCTCTACTCTTTTCTCTGCAGTTCTGTCCCCTTTTTGCTGCTCACTCTTATTTCCTCACAATTTCCATCTCATTCTTTGTTACTCTGCTGCAATCTAAACTATGCCCCCTTTTTCCAAATGTCACAATACTGTATCTTTTCTTCCCCCTTTTCTTTAGAGTAACTTCTTTTTCTGCCCCCCCCCCTCCCCCACCCCTTTCTGCTGTATTTTTTTCACAGGTGTCTGTAAGGCGGGGATTTACATTTTCTCAGGACAGGCAGCCCATGGAGAGAGGCCTGCTGGCAGATCAAAGGCTCCGGCTGTAAAACGATCTGAAAGAGTCCAGCATTAGCATCCATCAGGGTACCTTGAAAGCTCCCTGATCAGCCGAGAGGGAAGCTGAGGGCCCCCCAAAGTGAAAGCCCAGTCTGGAGAGGGGTGATGGAGGGGTGGAGGGAGGCTGGAAAGAGGGTACACAGAGAAGGAAAGGAGTAAAATTCCCATAATAAACTACAAATGTTTTGATTTCTCTGTTGGATTTGACCCCCGTCTCATCCCTTTACTCGTCCTCTCCACTCTCCTTTTCTTTATAGCGTTTAGACTGAGAACGTCTCCATCTGTGCACAGAGGCCAGAGTTTACTACTGGTCCCTGATGTCTGTGCATAGTTATGACTGGTCTGGGTAGTGGACTGAAGGGTGAAAGAAGTGAGGGATAGTGTGTGGGAGAAAGCTAAACCTGCTCCAAAGTATCTCTTTATAGCAGCCAGTCGGCACTGTGGGAAATAACAGCAGCATAGAGGCAGTGTGCTGCACTTTTGTGGAATAAGCTTGTTCATAGTCTTGAAATGGATAGGTATCGAACATGTGTGATAGAGATGGAGATTAGACCTGCGTTCCTGCTGTGTCCCAGTGCGTCAGTGTTTGCATCTTTTTCAGTAACAAAAGTAAATCTGCATCCTTTGGATTAAAATTCCCCCAGGAAACAAGCTATAGTAGGGTCCAAAATGTGCATATTATGAATATACATTTAGTCAGTTTTAACATATGTCGTTCTAATAAATGTAGACTTTAAATGACCTGTACTGTTTGTAGTTGCAATCTACACAGTGATTTTGTTTTAAAGCTTTTATTTTGAAATACTGCACCTGCCACTATTGATATAGTTTCCAAAAATGGCTCTAAAAAGGCTCGTGTCTGGCCAATAAATTCCTCAATTTTGCCTGTCATGATACCATTCTTCATTTTGATGAAAAGGATTCAAGATTGAAGATTCTTTATTTGTCACGTGCGTAGTTATACAAGTACAACACGCAGTGAAATGTGACCTGATACGTAGCTCCTGATTCAACACACGGAGGATAGAAGCTCTCCGTGCTTACTCCTGAAGTCCACCACCAGCTCCTTGGTCTTGCCGACGTTCAGCTGGAGGTGGTTATCATGGCACCACGATGCCAGATTCTTCACTTCATCCATGTAGGCCGCCTCATCGTTGTTGAAGATGGCGCCCAACACCACTGTGTCGTCAGCAAACTATTGGAGCCATGGTCAAAGGAGCTTGCAAAGAAAAGCGTCTGGACTTCTTTAAGTTGCTTGAAGACGTTTCACCTCTCATCCGAGAAGCTTGGTACAGATATGTGGACGACACCTGGGTCAAAATCAAGACACAAGAAGTGGAATCCTTCACTGCGCACATTAACGCTGTGGATAAAAACATCAAGTTCACCAGGGAAGACACAAAGGACGACTGTTTGCCTTTCCTGGACTGCGCTGTGCACATTGAAGAGAACAGCAACCTCAACATCGAAGTTTACCGGAAGCCCACACACACGGACCAGTACCTCCTCTTTGACTCCCATCACCCTCTGGAACACAAACTTGGAGTAATTAGGACCCTACACCACCGGGCAGAACATGTTCCCTCTAAGCCTGAAGGAAAAAGAAGGAACACACACATGTAAAGGAAGCACTCAAAACGTGCGGCTATCCTAAATGGGCGTTCTTAAAGTCAGCAAAGAGGCACAGAAAAGAAGACCAGACACCAGCGAGGGAGGATAAGAAGGACAGACGCAACAACATTGTCATCCCCTATGTAGCCGGTGTATCAGAGAAACTCAGGAGAGTTTTCTCCAAGCATGACATCCCAGTGTATTTCAGACCCAGCAACACGCTCAGACACAAACTGGTTCACCCAAAAGACAAAACGCCAAAATACAAACTTAACAATGTGGTGTTTGCTGTACAGTGCAGCGAGGAATGCCCAGACCTCTACATTGGAGAGACCAAACAGCCACTTCACAAGCGCATGGCACAACACAGAAGAGCCACCTCCACAGGACAAGACTCAGCAGTCCATCTGCATCTAAAGGATAAAGGTCACTCTTTTGAGGATGCCAATGTTCACATTTTGGGCAGAGATGGTTTGAAAGAGGAGTGAAAGAAGCCATCTATGTCCACTGTGAACGACCATCTTTGAACAAAGGCGGGGGTTTACGACACCAACTCTCTGCCATCTATAATCCAGTTTTGAGATCCCTTCCCAGACGCCTTAACGCCCACTCACATCCTGGGCCATCTGATCTCAGGAATTCGCATGATAAGGTGGGGCCAGGTTTCACAATGAACACACCCGAAACTCTGGCTGATTGGGACCCACACCCAGTTTCCCACCTTGGCTCAGGCGATTAGAGGATCATCAGGGGTTCTTTTGTCCCTCTGTGGGGGGTCACTCCCACTAGGTTTCTATCTGGGACTCTCCACCATTTGACCTTAGAACTGAAGAAGCTTCTCGGATGAGAGGTGAAACGTCTTCAAGCAACTTAAAGAAGTCCAGACGCTTTTCTTTGCAAGCTCCTTTGACTACGATGACCTGGATGACTGAGAACCTTCACAGACCTATTGGAGCCATGAGTGGCCACGCAGTCTGAGAGGCAGTAGAGCAGTGGCGAGAGGACACACCCCTGTGGTGCTCCTGTGTTGATGGTGATGCTGTTAGAGACGCATCTACCCACCCTCACCACCTGAGTACTGCCACCGAGGAAGTTCAACACCCATGCTTAGTGAACAGTCTGCAGGGCACTATTGTGTTGCCCTGTTTCTTGTCCGTGTGGCTGAGGGTGGTGTGCAGGACGTGGGCGATGGCATCCTCTAGCATCACAGCTTGGTCTGTGTCGCTACATATTGGCAAATGCCTGTTATATTCATCCTCAAAGCCTCAGCTACCAAGTCTTTCTTTGACAGGATGTTGCCCAGTTTGTTGCAGACTCCATATTAATGTGAAGTAAATGTGACTGTTGAGTCAGATCTTTGGTTAAAAGTCCACTTACCCACAAACCAGTCTACCTAGAGACTGCATGCCTAATAGAATCATTGGCATTTTAGCAGTGACTTGAACCCTTACTATGGCATACAGTTAAGTTGGAAGTTTTTCACAAATGAGTCATCTATGAATGAGTCAGAATTTATGGCAGTTGGTGTGTTACTAGCTTGTAGTGCCTACAGAAACATACTGGAGACCTGCACTGTGTTTGAGGAGTTCTTAAAGCTACCTTATTAAGAGATGTTCTTAATTTTCACGTAATGAAAAAAAAAACATGTAAATATATATATATATATATATATATGCACATATGCTTGCTTTTATCAACATGACTAGTTGTCACATCAGCGTGTATGTACACATCAAAATTCATGTAATGCATGCTTACTCTAAGAAAAAGCCCCACTCAAGCACGCACAATACTCCCCACGCAGAATCACCCAAACACACTCCCTGGTTGTGTGCCACAGTGTACAGCTTGCTGACATGTGTGGAGCCTCCTGTGTGCGGGACCAGGGCTGCATGCCACTGTCTCAGCTCAGTAATGGATGTCCCGTTTGTTGCACACAGATATACAGAGAGACCGACAGACAGTGGCGGGACTCAGCTTGGCTGTCCTGTCCAACCAAGGATGAGTTCCTCTTCTGTTTAGGGAAAGGGATGTGATCTCATTCTTTAAAAATCCAACCTATGTCGCTTGCCACTCATGACTTAATCCGGCCTTCTCCTTTGTGCAAAGTGCTCTCCCGTTCTCCACTTCTCCTCTTACTTTCTCTTACTCTTTGGCTCTGCCTGTATACTTTCTGCCGCTCTGTTTATCAGTGTGTCTGTGTCTCACGTCTTCACTTTCTGTGCTATTGAGGAAAAAGGCCTTGTATTATGTGGGAGAGCAGCAAATTTAATAAAAAAGATTAGACAGTACTTTGCAACTTTTTGAGAACATCATTATTTCCATCATGTAAAATCATCAGAGTCATCAACACTGAATTAGTTCTGCAGCGTGGCACTGAGCCACACATACAGCGAGAGGCATAAAGTCCTCTCTGCAGAGAAAAGAAGGTCAAGGAGTTTTGCAGCGGCCTTCACAGAGCCCTCATCCCAACGTCATGGACTCAGTCCGGAATTACAAGAATTTCGCTGACAAAGCAAAATCTCAGATGCTTACAACAACTGTAGGGGCTTTAGCAAAGTTCAAATGCTACATACATGACAGACAAGCTCAACGCAAATTCAGTGGTCACGTTTGCCAGCAGTACTTTTAAGAGGAAATCCAAAAATGCTGAATGTCGTGAAAAATGTGGGCATTCCCCACATAGTCTTGTTCTTGGTATCACTATCAAGTGTAAAATTAGAAGGACAACAACACACGGAAAATAAGATGTGGTGCAGTGAATTATGCCGTGGAGTTTTGTCTGCGAGAAAGTGCTTCTAAACTCACGTTAAGCCCAAAATCAGTACTTTTTTAGGAGTGTGGAGTATTTGCATGGTGTTACACATCTGGTGAGAGGTGCACGCAGCACAGACGAGGACGCAACACAGTCTGTTTGCAAACCCCGCATTTTCCTTTCTTGCCTTTTCCATATTGCTGCCCACTGAAAATAAAAAGTTGAATGTAATCCTGTTACACATGAAGAAAGTTTCCAGCGAAAGAAATACGTTTTATTAGTTTATGTCAATTAAATCAATCATAAAAAGATATGTTTATGAGCACTGTGCTGACTGTTCGCCCGGTCCGTCAACGGATGCATTTGAAAAAGTCCCCTGCATGTTTTTTGGACAGCTGCTCACAAGAGAGGTGTCCAACCCAAATCTTTTGTGTTATTCTGAAAAACCATCGCGAGCATCTTCACTGCACAGACTCGCACGCCCCCCATCGTTGATTGGTCGGTAATACTCAGAATCCAATCGTGTAATCTTCTGCCGCCTTCAAAAGTTTATCAAAGCCAGAGAGTCAAAGGATTGTTTAAAAATGAAGGAGGCAAATATAAAATAGCAGTGGCACCGTGCAGCCGTGACACTACTGGAAAGAATTCACTTGTCCTGTAAGAGATGAGTATTGTTGAGCGTGCAGGAGCACGTTTAGCCTTTCATCCTCTTTTCTGTATGCGTCTTTTGTTTGGCACATGTAGATGCATGCTACATAGATGTTCAAACAAAGTGAACACCTCTGATCAAGCTTAACGACAGATTGTGCATCTGTTACTGTTTGTATGCGACATCGCTACATGTGGAACTGCAGCATGCTGGTCAAGCATTAGCTACGCTGTGCTCTCCACAGCAATATGGGCTCATCAGAGCAGCAGTGATCATAAGTCTAAACAAGAATGGGCGTTTTCCAGAAACCTGACTCAAGACGGTGGTTTGTAAAATCTGGACCGTTAAACTGCGCTAGGAAAGCTGTAAGCTTGACTGTGTTGTGTTTAAATGAAAATCTGGACTTTTAACCTTCTTGATCTTTCTTGTGTTTTTCATATTCTTAAATATGTAATGAGTGTCTGCCTGGGTACAAGTTACAGCCAAACACACAGACATATTCAGACGGCCAGGGTTTCATATACTGTAGTATAACTAAGCTCAGGAGCCAGTCCTGTTAACCTGCACGTGAGGTTTAGTTTATCTGACATTAGCAACACGTCATTAAGGTCTCCACATAATAATATTATTGCTCGATTGGAGTTCATGTGCTAAACTGCCCTGCCTGAGACATTATTAGACATAAAGCAGAATCTTCACATGTTATTACTGAACCTCTCATCGTTGCCAGCGAGGCCTCATCTCCTTGCAGCATGTTCTGAAACCCTCACTCCATGCTCTCTCAATTGTCACAGTTTGTCAGGACAGCTGTCTGCATGCAGCAAGTGACCGTGGCACCTCATAACTCAAACTGCACGGCGAAACGAGAACCCGGCGGCTGAACTGGCACGTTGGAAACGATTTGTTGTTTGTTTAGCAAACATCAAACCTCTTCCCGATAATTTGCCGTTTCTCTTTCATTTTCTTTACCTGCTTATTAGTTCCCTGAGGCCGACACAGGCTGTCGTCCAATGCACATGTTAAAGAAATGAAAACACAATGGGAGGAGCTTCACGGTCAA